TTTGATCTTATTGATTGCCCATGTCATTTTTGCTTTTAGCTATCAATTTTCATCAGTTTTATTGTTCATTTCTTTCTTATCTTTTGCTATCAGTGATTCAATTATTAATAGACCCTAATGCAGCATCTCTTTGACTTTCTTTCCTTCTTTTTCATCTCACACAGTCATCTAAAACTGATACTTACAGAAAAGGATTCCTGTATAATGTTATTCCCAGAGAATTAGAGCAGAATAGAACTTTTTTTTTTCAAAACCAAAAAGAATTAATAACCTTATTACAAACAGGATCTCCAAATACTAGAATGGAGTTTTGAATTAGAAAATGGGCAGTGATGGTGATGAAGTGACAGAAGGAATTTGTGTTGCATAATAACCTAGCAGAGTATTATTTTTTCTCCTCTGATTTCCTCATTTTGACCTTTGAGGTCAGATACAGGAAAAGAGAGGAAGTTGTTTTTGATTGGTTAAAACTAGCATGGGAATGATAGAGAGAGAAAGTGATTTCAGTGAGTTAAGATTTTACACATCATACACAGTAGACATCGTTATTTCATGTATTGGGGAACTTGCCCCCTAGTGGGGGTGACAGAGTGTCACCACTGGCTAGTTAAAAATGTACATGTTGACGTGTTTAATAAAACAGATAAGTTTAAAATTCCTTTTATTAAAGTTCTCTTTCATCTCCAGACTTCAAAAACATTTCAACACACAGCCGGGAGAAGATGAGCGAGAGAAGATACAATGTTATAGAATCGACCCTGTCACCCAAAAGATCTCCCTAGAATAAGGAGTTATGCAACATTTAGCTTCCCTCTACGAAATTATCAAGTTGCTCAACAGAATAGAAAATGACAAATATCTAAGAATATTGGAAGCTGATTCAATGAAACAAAACAGGATAACAAAAATCTTGATCAAGAATATCTTTATAAAGAACAAAGAAAACTTTATGTAACATGGCAGCAGCTCTGACTGAATCGTATTAGTGCCTGAAATGTTGTTTAGTGATTTATTAAACCTGAGTGAAGGAGTAGTGATATTAAACAAAGAAAAATATAGGAATGGTTAATGAGGTAAAAAAAACATGTTTGGTTTAAAAATATTAATTTGAACCTATAAAATACTTATGAGGAAGGCATTGGGAAAATTTGAACCTAAAATAAACCTAGTAAGTTTCAGTAAAATCCAGTATAATAAAATTCACTGCCTAGCCCTACAGCTCTGAAAAAATTGTGATGACATGATTAATGCATTTGCAAAATTCTGCAAACTTTTTCCAAGTTTGTGAATTGTTTATTTGGTAGCCTATTCTGCAAGAATTACATTGATTTTTACAAAAAAAAAGTTCTGAAACTAGATTCTGGGTTATAAGTACTGGCAGAAGGGTCACATGAAATTTACCATCTGGTTTGTTTAACATTTAGAAACTAAATACATTATCAGAAAATTTCTGTCTGAATCCACATCTGAATAAAGACTGAATACACATCTTATAGATACATTTGCATGTACATATTAGCTTTATGCATACGCACTAATAAACAAACACCTACACACACATGTGCGTATTATATTTATATATCTGCCAAAAATGATGAAGCATTGTAATATTCATAACATTTATATAATATTTTATTTAAAGTGCTTGATGTTTCTCCAATATATTTTTGCTGCCAATCCTTGCAGTTGATAGAATAAATTCCTCTTTCAAGTTTTGGCTACAAAACAATGAGACAAAATTTAAAGGAGGAATTTATTCTACCCCTGCAAAAACTGCCAGAAAGAATATATTGGAGAAATCTCAAGAAGTTTAAATAAAAGATTATATGAACACAAAAGAGACATTTTAAAAGACAACACATTAAATGCATCAGTTGGTCACTATAATGAGATTGACCACAATTTGACATAAAAAATGCTGCTCTAATTAAAAGACAAAAATGTTTAGAAAGTGCTTTAATTGCTAATTCATCTGCAGTAAATTTCAGTTCAGGTTCTTACAACGTTTCATCATTCTTGTCAGATCTTCTATTATCACAATGTGGCATATTTAATAACAAAAATGATGGAAAAAAAAGAGAAAGAAAATTAAATTATATTAGATTATATACTCAAAACAAATTAAAAAAAAAATTCCTAACCCCTCTCGTTTGTGCACATGTGTATTTAAATCAGTGTAAAGGAACCTAGTCTGATGAAATTTTAAGGGTGAAATGCCTCACATGAAAACTGTTCCATCCATCCATATATATATATATATATATATATATATATATATATATATATATATATAAAGTTTTCTTAAATTTAACTGACAAAGTGTATCTACTTAATTCTTCATTATGCCTTTTTAATTTCTGTGTGAGATAGTGTATATCAGGATTGAAATTATGAATAAACTGCCCAAAGTTCATATTTTTGGCGTATTTTTTGTGGGGGCATGAAATTTGGACACTTTATTGATAATTTGATCTTGATATGCAACATCTCATTTGTGAATTGGAAAAATATAATAAAAATTAAATAGACAAACTTTGTTAGTTGAATGTAACGGAACTTCTTTCCATGAATTCTTGCCATCTTAAATAAATACACACACACAAGCAGACGTGTGTGTGTAAATTATTTTCAGGTAGAGTGTATCTGTAAAGGAACAAAATGAATAGAAAGGCAAGAGAAAAATTATTCTTAATAACGCGTTTTGTCATCTGATAATGTCTTGATAAAGTCCATCAGAAGGTGAAACACATTAGCTAAGAATAGTTTTTCTCTTACCTTTATATATATATATATATATATATATATATATATATATATATATATATCATTTATTCAAAAAATTATAACTTAAATATGTTATAAAATCACTACAAAACATAACATATTTATGTTATAATTTTCAAATAAATTATATTTGCTCTACACTGTACTGAGCACTCTTTTAAGAATAGTATCTTTTGGTTATTGGAATTTATTCCATATACACCAATCTTGGGTATATTCATATTCTTGGGTATATATATGTATAAGTGGACACAGGTTAACACCAAGCGGCAACAAACTATTTCATGCTTAAATGCAATCTTCACGAGAGGATGCACGATGGAGTAATGGATAGCGGCTTGGATTGAGGAATCAGATAGACGAGTTTGAATTCCAATAGAATTCATTGCATTCACTTACATGTTAATACCCTTAGGAAAGGTATGAATCCTCTTCTTCTCCCCCCAGCTACATGCAAATAGACTAGCCTTGGATGACAACTGGTCTACTGCAGAAATAAATGGCAACCTACTGTGGGAAAAAATTTGCCTCGTCAGTCATGTATTGAAAGATTGCCTAAGCATGTATCATACATAGCAGATAACCGACTGACAGGCGTGAAGTATGAAACAGACTGTCACTACTTGGTGCTGACCTCACTGTCCACTTTTATATTTACATATGCTTTATATCTGATACTGAGTATTTTTACCCATAAATATAGCATACTATATATTTATCATATATATGTTTTTGTGTGTGTGTTTGTGTGTTTTTGTCACAAGTCTGTGCACATATGTTTCTAATAATTGAGATTTTCTTTTGTTCCAAATCCCATTTGACTTCCTTGCTTGACAGATTTTTATGCCAGTCAAACAAGAAGACTGACTCAAATTATATTACAAAAATTAAGAGTAAAGGAAAGCAAAAGTCTACCTTGATTCTCTTAACATTTTGTTCATACATGCATAAAATTTCTCTTCTCTCTCGTTTACTCAATAAGGCCAGCCAATGTTAATCCTTCATTGCCTCGACATTTCTCTTTTCATGTTATGAAATGACCCAGATCAGTTGTGAATCAAGTTACTTCTTGTTCACCACCAGCTGGGGAGTGATTTAGGATTGTTCTTTTTTTTATTCTGTCAGTTAATTACTTATAAGGCAAACATTTAAGGAAATGTTCTGAAAATTGTGTGTGTGAGTTTGTGTATGTATGTATACACACACACACACATACATATATATATATATATATACACACACACACACATATATATATATGTGTGTGTATATATATATATATATATATATATATATATACACACATATACATGCATATATATATATATATATATATATATATATATATATATATATATATATACACGCAATTTAAAGCCAATAGTGATTTTATTGAATAAATTTACTCGTTAGTATTTCAGGATATTTTTGTGTAATTTTGGTAAATATATCTGTCAGTGTTATTTTCATTTTTGCGTAATTTAGATGACAATTTAACCATCGCACCATGTGTGTGTGTGTGTGTGTATACACGTGAGTGTATATATATATATATATATTTATATATATATATATAGATGTGTGCGTGTATATATATATATATATATATATATATATATATATATATCCATGTTACAGCTTATGTCATTGATAAATGCATATGACTGGTTTTGACATTATTCTCAATTCATAAAGTATGTAATTATCAATGACGTAAGGATAAAATTTTGGAACTTGGTTGGTCTGCTCCAGCTCTCCTGATCTTGCACCAACTGATTTTAACTCTTATTGATTGCTGCAAAACACTTTGATGGGAAAAGCTTTCTCTAATAAAAAAACAAATTCAGTTGCTTGGTTGTATTTGTTTAGTAGCATTTGACCCGTATGCGTCATTTAATGCTGAAATCTAAATATTTTGTTTGCAGTTTTATGACTTGAACTACAAATATTTTGAACACAATTTTATATTTTCAGTTTTAGTTTGTAGATGATCTTTTGTAGTTATTATATGTTGTGGTATAAACCTCATTGAAGGGTCATACCTCTCTGCAGAGGTGCAGTCAGCATATTCTACAGCCCCAGCCAATCGGCCAGACAAGATTCAAGTGTTTGTTGAAAATTTTAATGAAATGATTAAAAAAACAATAAAAACTTAATTTTTCTGTTATTTAATAATGTTTAATCTATTTTTCTGTCTCTTCAGAACCAAATCAAAAATGAGAAAATCTCAAATCCAGATCAACCGGAATTATTTGACATTTTCCTGGAAGCTCCTTGTTTCTTCACTGATCATTTCTTGCCTTGCTGTTCTTTGTGGCAAATTTCTCATATCTGATTCACATTTAACAAAAGACAAATCATGGGCTGCTGATGCTGATTCCAGTGGATGGTATCTTGCCACTAAGGATGCAGAATCAAAATTCAATATTCCCCACTGTGACATTGAGAAGAGATCAATACTGGATGTTACCAGTGAGGAGTTTGAGCAGAAATACAAACTGAAAAAACCTTTGATTTTCACTTTCCCCAATGGGGCTCAAGATTGGACTAGTAGCATTAAGTGGTCCCGGCGGTCACTCAAGAAAAAATATGGACACTGGTTTGTTCAGACTGGAAATGCTCTTGAGATTGTGCGGCATGGAGGAAATGGAAATTTGAAAATGTATTTTGAACGTTTTGTGGATGATGATATGAACAAGACCAATTCCCGTGGAGAACCATTGTGAGTTTCTTTCTTTTTTAATTGTTACATCTATTTGGATATTTTGCCTTGCCTTTCGGAGTTTTTTTTTAACATTCTTCTGTAGAACCACATCTTTTCTGCCTCAAGGCTTACAGCCACATCATGTTGAAACATTAGTTTCCATATGATGACCAAAGTTAAGCAACATTGAGCTTGGTCAGTACTTAGAGGGGTGACTGCTTGGAAATACCAGGTTCTGTAAGCTTGGATGTATGGGTGGAGTAATGAATAAGGGCTTGGAATATTTAATTGGAAAGCTGAGCTCCAATTCCAGTTGGGCTCGTTATATTCACTTACACGCAAATACCCTTGGGAAAGGTATGACTAACTCTTCTCCCCCCAATCATGGATTAATTAGTAAGACTTGTAACACAAAAGAATTATTATCTCAAAAAAATCTTACAATTTTAAAAATATTTTCTGGCTTTAAATAACATGCAAAGTGCTGATAAGCTGTAGAAAATGAATCAATCTGTTGCCTCTTCATCTTTGAGGAAATTGTCCAGTATTACCTCCATATAGGAGGACTGATATTACATGGCAATTCAGAACTGTTTTCTTTATTTCTATCAAAATTTTCCAGCTTCTTAATACTTTGTATTGCTGATAAAAATAATACTACAGCAGTAAGAGAGAAAGAGAAGAGAACCTGATTTGTTTGAAATTTAAAATAATTACCTAATTCTATTCTTTAAACAGTAAACTACTTGCTAATAACTTATTATTTATTTTACCTTATCTTGAATCACTTTCTGACTATGAGACTCAGATGTGAATCTTATCATGCTCATTTAGTCAAGAAGGTGACTTCTTGATGTTATTAACCTAGAGAGGTATTCCCAGCATGCAGCACTTTTGGAAAATCCCCTAAAATCCATACCACAGTTGACCCAAACCTTGTGAATGAAATTGGGTAGGTGGAACTATTTGGGATCCATTGATGATTGTGCTAACACAAAGTCACAAGTGATCGTGACCAATGGTTTGAGTGTACTGACCTTCCTTAGACAGTTGATCATGCCAGATAATGCACTCTCTCCCAGAAATTGTAACTAAGTTCTGCTGAGCATAGTTGCAGTATAAACCAAAGGTGGGCTCAGTAAGTTTTGAACAAAGCACAAATGTGCCTGAGCAGGCGTCTGCAACTGGGATTGGCTAGCCACCCAAGTAGACAGGCATACTCGGATATTGTAGTGCTATAGCTGAAAAGTTCTGTACTTTTCTCAATTTCAGATTCCATCTCATCACCTTTGTTAACCAGCTTACGGCCACATTATATTAAAACACCAGTTCCCATACGATCACCAAAATTAAGCAATGTCAAGCCTGGTCAGTCCTTAGATGGGTGACTGCTTGGGAATACCAGGTGCTGTAAGTTTGGATTTATGGGTGGTGTAATGGATAATATGCTAGGAATTGTTAATCAGAGAGCCAAGTTCCAATTCCAGTTGGGTTTATTATATTCACTTACACACAAATACTTTTGGGAAATGTATGAATCCATGAGATACAAGCAGCCAGTTATTAAATCTTATCTTACTAATGCAGCAACTGTCAGTTTCATATGTCTCTAGTCTCAAGACATCAGATTAATTGTTTACAACTCATTTATCTAGTAAAAAACATAATAATTTAATATTTTAGGGTTAGGCAAACTGCTGCGGCTGATAGCCACTTGACTACGAATGATTTGGTTAACCACAACTACATCAACATTTTCTGAGTTGCATTCCATAGATTAATGTGAAACGTTAGGTGCGGTGGTTCAGGTGACTATGCTGGTTTTTTAACTAACTGATTTGGGTTCAAGCCTGTTGGCCTTTAGAAAATCATTTTCACTTAAGTGATATTGCCATTTGCTTATTTTATACTCTATGATATTATTCATGGAAATTCAATGGTTTCCATACACTCATTAATGCCCACTATCCTATATGTACGGTGGAGTAATGGATAGCAGCTTGGATTGAGGAATCAGAGAGCTGAGTTCAAATTCCAGTCAAATCCATTATGTTCACTTAGGTGCTAATACTCTTGAGAAAGGTATGAATCCTCTTCTTCTCCCCCCAGCTATGGGTAAATAGCAGGACAGACAGGGTTCTATAGCCTTGGATGGCAACTGGTCTACTGCAGAAAGAAATGACAATCTACTGCAGGAAAAAATCTGCCTTGTTAGTCATGTATCGAAAGATACATGGTCGCTTATGCGTGCATCATGTATCGCACATAACTGACTTACTGATCCCATTTTTGGAATATATGGGTAATGTTTTAAGGAAAATGGAAACAAAAAGGATACTTTTACTTAGGACCAGAATAATACAGTTGGGGCACATAATGGGGAAAGAGAGCTTAGTGAAGTTGACACTCACAGGACATACTGAAGTCTGGTTGAGCCTAGGCTTAGAGAGGTTCAGATTGTAGTGATCAGGGACCATCCTTTCAGGATTCTGTTCCACAATGCAGCATGTCTGGGAAAGAACTCCCCCCTTACCAATGGAATATGAAGAGAATAAGGAGACTGTTGTGTATGATACACCTAATTTACATAAGCGGACTACCGACCATATAAATATGGGTTGGTACCGGAAGACGGGGAAGATAGTAGAGATTAAGAAATTGAATCCAGAGACTCTGCCCGACTGCGATTTAGTCAACCCATTATGCAGGAACAGTCTTCCCAAGAATATACCAAACTAACTGTAAATATTGTGTACCTATTCTTTGTTTCAATACATTTTGTTAACGTACATTTTGTGTTGTATTATTCCATGCTTATTTAAGCTTCAACAGAGACTTTACATGCTTTGGCAGGTCCAAGTTGTGAACTTGACTGGTGAAACCAAGGAATCTAATTTGCACAAGCATCTGCCATGAAAATGGCAATAGAGTAGTGAGAGGCAAGCAGTGTTTTGAGTGTGGGAAAGGGATTGTAGGGTGGAAAACATTTCATCACCCACAAGGCCGTGTAGACACTTTTGGACTCTGGGCAGCTTGATCACAGATAGGGGCAATGATACTCCCTTTGTGCTTTGATCTAGTTTTTGCCTTGTTAAAAGTCCTGAGTTTATAGTAAACATTCCAGTGATAAAGATTTGGCAAATCCCTATTTGATGGAAGAAAGCTATTTTATCTCATAGATGTCTATAAAAAAGCATAACTAAGTAAATCGAGGTTTTTGCAGTATGATTCTCACTGTGTGTCTCACTGTGATGTGAGGCCTGCTTAATTAGGGTGGTTAATTTAATGATATATCAACACTTTTTAGATTATATAATGTTAATTATAAATCTTATAGGATAAAAATTACAATGATTTAATAGAAAGGTAGACATAGTTCCATTTATACACTAGAGTCAAAAGGTAATACCCTTGGGAAAGGTATGAATCCATCTCTTCCTCCCCCCAACTATGGGTAAACAGTAAGACATTGGGTTCCATAGACTTGATAACCAGTCTTAGAGAAGGAAAACTCTGTATTCAAATGTTTTATGTAGCCCACGGGAAGTATATACTATGCAGCTAAGAAAAGGATCGTTTGTATTGATTAATGATCCCAATTATGGTCGAAAAAGAAAAAACAGTAACAGTAGACATTTTTGTTAATTATTTCATCACAAGCCATGTGATAAAGCCACTACATTGCAAAGGGTTACTGAGTGTGAAAGAATATGAGGAAAAACATTATTAAGGAGAAAGGACAATAAAAGAACAGGAATCAAGAATATAGAAGATAACAATTGAAAATTTTGGAAGATCAAAGCTGATTGGAAAGCAAGAAGCCAGAAGAGAGTTCCATGAGTGGGAGGTGTGAGAGAAAAAATTGCTAGCATAGAACTTATGGCTACATCTAACAATTTCAACTGTAAAATAATGAGACCTAGCTGCCAATCTAGTACTGCACTTAAATTTGTAAAGCCTAGCTACCAAAGAGGAAAGCTCATGAGAATAATTCCCATGAAAATATATATATAGAAAAGGCACATGGAAGCTATATTACAGCAGTGGAGAAGTGACTGAAACCAAGATGCCAGGTCAGGACCAATAATACTGCAGATTCTTCTTTGGATTTTGTCAATACATAGCAGAAGCACCAGAGCAGATGTGGCATCAATATTCAATGCAAGACTTATAAATATGTAAGATAGATTCTGACAAGAAAAATTGTCTAGCATGACACAAGAAACAAATTTCCTAGCAGCAGGCTTATTAATTGATTCAATATAATCATTCCATTTCATGTCACTGAAAAATGTTAGCCCAGGAAAGTTCAGTAGATTGCTTTCCTGGAGGTTAGCATCAGCTGAGTGAGAGCAAGAAGAATTCTTTCAGATGATTAAAAGAGAGCAGTTTCATTTTAGAGGAGTTAAAATTAACAAGCCATTTCTTTTCCCAGTTAACAACAGATTGAAGGTCATTTTTCTAGATCAATTGCCAATTTGACCTTATTGAATTTATCAGACTTACCATTAAGATAGGAGTAAATATTTGTATCATCAGCATAGATACCAAGTTGAGAACTAATGACATTTGGAAGGTCATTGATGAAAATTAGGAACAACATAGGTCCAAGGATAGAGGCCTGGTGGGGGATGCTTGCATTAATGTAAAAAGACCTTGAAGAGTGGCCATTCAAGACAACTTTCATTTCCCAATTTGACAAGAAAGATTGAATCAAATTAAAAATTCTTCCAGAAATACCATAATCCTTCAACTTGTGGAGAAGACTGGCATGCCAAACCATGTCAAATGCCTTCAAGATATCCAAAGCTACAGCCCGAGCTTCACCATTCTTATCTAAAGCATGATAGACTCTTTCAGAAATAACTGTTAACAGATGAGCAGTTGACCTAGAGAAATGAAAATCCTGCAAGGTGAAATACTTAACAAATTCAGAGTTGATTAGAGATTTTAGGACGTTGCCAAAAAGAAGTAGAAGGTTAGTAGGTTGATACAATGATCAGACATTGGTCTGATTTACACCATAGTCAGAAAGGTAGACATTGGTCTGATTTACACCATAGTCAGAAAGGTAGACATTGGTCTGATTTACATCATAGTCAGAAAGGTAGACATTGGTCTGATTTACACCATAGTCAGAAAGGTAGACATTGGTCTGTTGTACACCATAGTCAGAAAGGTAGACATTGGTCTGTTTTACACCATAGTCAGAAAGGTAGACATTGGTCTGTTGTACACCATAGTCAGAAAGGTAGACATTGGTCTGTTGTACACCATAGTCAGAAAGGTAGACATTGGTCTGTTGTACACCATAGTCAGAAAGGTAGACATTGTTCTGTTGTACACCATAGTCAGAAAAGTAGACATTGGTCTGATTTACACCATAGTCAGAAAGGTAGACATTGGTCTGTTGTACACCATAGTCAGAAAGGTAGACATTGGTCTGATTTACATAATAGTCAGAAAGGTAGACATTGGTCTGATTTACACCATAGTCAGAAAGGTAGACATTGGTCTGATTTACACCATAGTCAGAAAGGTAGACATTGGTCTGTTGTACACCATAGTCAGAAAGGTAGACATTGGTCTGATTTACACCATAGTCAGAAAGGGATACAGTTAGTAAGTTCTAAGTATATTCTAAACTTTGCTTAAGAGACAATAGTTTTGTATGCAATGTTAAAATGTTATATATTTCCACTGGTGCTGATAGTCTGTGTTTGAGACACGATAAAAGCCAGGATTTCAAATCCTGATGTTCATGATAAGCACTTGGGAGATTTCTATAACAAGAGTTTTTTTTCTCATGCTTCCCTCTTATTTGGCCTTATGCCACACACAGTTTAGTAAATATCAATAAACACCAAAAGAAATAATAGCAGGTTTATATTGTATCCTTTGTCAGTTGCGCCAAGCACATTTACCTGCATAGAAGATATTTATCTTCATATATTAGTTTCTAAAACAGTTGCCCTCAGCCCACCTGCATGCCACATGTCTAATGTATTCAAAGGGCGGAGTTTTGCTCTAATTGTCAGCCCTTCATGCTCAGTTGCTGTTATAACATTAAAAAAATTTATCTTTCTTTTGAAGCAGGAAAAAATATGAAAGTTCTTTTTTAGTTTGTTTATTGTCCATTTGGTGAGTTGTTTTTTCTTTTTTTTTTTTTTTTAATCATTTCACCCCAAGCAAGGCAATAATGCCACTAAGATGTAAGAAGTTATTGAGAATGAATGAGAATGAGAAGACTTTAGTAATGAGAAATTGATTGAGTGATTTTTTTTTAGGGTTTATCTACCTTTTGCAGGTTCATATAAAGCTAGAAGATATTTTTAGATTGTAAAAATTTTTTTATACTAATTAACCCACAGCTGGGGAGAGAAGAGGTGGATTCATAACTTTTCCAAGAGTATTTGCACAGAGGTGAATTGTTGTGTTGTAAATAGGAAAGGTTGACACACGTAAAAAAATAAGTAGTTTACTCTAGAGAATAATATGGCACATAGTTGAGAACACAGACTAATAAATAGTTAATCGTTAACTCTTCTCTCTCAGTAAAAGAGAGTGCTGTTTAAATAGTCTTAGACCAGTTCATCTTGTGGGGTGTTCAGCTACTCCACAACATGAATATCACTACCCTAACTGGAATTGGAACTCGGCTCTCCATTACTCCATCTGTACATCCATGCTTACAGTACCTGGTATTCCCAAGTGGTTAGCCATCTAGGTACTGACCAGACTCAACATTGCTTAACTTTGATGATTGTACAAGAACTGGTGTTTCAACATGTTATAGCTATAAGCAGTGAGGAGAAAAGACAATAAAAGAACAGGATTCAGGAAGACAGAAGATGGTGATTGAAATTTAAATTTTTGAAGGTCATAGGTGGAACTGAAGTAGAAACTGGAAGAGGGTTCTTCAGACTAAGAAGGCTTACAGCCATATTACAATTATGGAATAATTTTCATGAAAAAGTTACAGGGAAATTATGTTAAGGTGGTAGCAATGTGTCTGTAGCTAAGATGCCAAGTCAGGACTGATAACATTGCAGATTTTTATTTGGATTTTGTGAAGACTCTCTTGACATATAGTAGAAGCATCATATCAGATATGGTAGCAATATTTGATGCACGGACAAATGGTAGACTTCTAAATGTATAAGCTGGATTCTGGTGAAAAAAATCGTCTAAAACATGCAAATACATGAAATGATAGCTAATAGGAAGAGAAATTGCTATGTGATGCCATTTTCCAGTTCCATAGAAAGATATGTGTTAAATACAATCCAAGCCACATAGGTTCAAATGGGGAATAGCCACATACAGCCCCACATTACTCACTACTGGTAATTTTAGCTAAAGAATAGAAAATTAAAACCTGGGTAGGTTTAGGATACTTCCTAAACACTGAACTGATTAGTCTTTTTTTTCCTAATATTAAAGTTTACCCAATACAAGGCTTGAGAGCTACTCAAGGTAGATGGTTACTATTAAAATGTTCATGGTGAATGGTGTTTCATGTGAATCAAAGAGGGGGTGCTAGGAAGTGGAGATTGTTGCCTAACCTGAAGAAGTTAAGATTGTTGTCTTCAAAGAAGAATCCATATAGAAGCCTTTTCTACAAAGTAGTTGTTCTTGGAAAAAGCTGTCCAAGTGAAACTTATTTGTAACATGGAGGAAATGAGGGTGATTCAACTCTGTGGAAGTAGCATGACATGCCTCAGTTTCATAAATTAAACTGGTTAATCAGACTGTCATCAAAAGTATTTCATAAAAGTATTTGTGTCTGAATTTTTGGAATGAGGAGTTATCATTATATTATTTACAGACAATATCCTCATCTTTGCTATAAAAAATTGTAAAGGTTTGAAATGATTGAAGTAGGAAGCATCAGAACATTTTCCATAGAAATAGCAAAAGATTAGTAATAGGTTTGCAATGTTGCATCTGTGGAAAAGAGGTTGTAGGATAGATAATAATTTATCACCTATAAGGCTGTGTTAATCCTTTTGAACTGTGTTGAGACTAGAAAGAGAAGATCAAGCAGCTACAGCCCAGATATGGCAACAGTACTCCATTTACAATGTTTCAACCTTTGTACCCTTCAGCCTTCTTCAGTTAATGCTTTTGAACTTTGTTGAGACTAGAAAGAGAAGGTCAAGCTTCTTTTTTTGTACTGCTCATTTATTGCTCACCTTCTTTCCACTGAGTCAGAGTCTGTATTGCTTGGCTCAGGGATTGAACTTACAATCCTTTAGTCTATTGCCTTATGAGACAACAGCCCTATGGATTAAAGTGTTGTTTCATCAATTTGGTGGCATAGTAATTGTGAGTTCAATCCCTGGGCCATTCCATAGAGGGTTACTGAATGGAGTTGTTTTATGGATATAAGAATTGAAGATTATGAGGATATGTAGGATAGATAACAGTTGACTTGAAGAGGTTAAGATTCTAGTGGTTCAAGAAGTATCCTCTTGGGAGTCTGTTCCACAAAGTAACAGCTCTTGGGAAGAAGACTTCCTTAACAATGGAATGAATACAAAAGGAATGAGGATGGTTTGTCCCTGTGTTCATGGTATGACAAGTCTTAGCTGTAAAGGTCTGAAATGCTTGGACTAGGAAACATCAGAACATTTTCTATAGATGTAGAGTAAATAGCACACTCCTGGTGACTATATGAACTATTTCATTACTATAAAGTGGGGCACTTTGGCGTGATGTAATGGTTAGCAAGCTTGTCTCACTAGGTCAACTACAACTGAATAGTGAGTTCAATCATCACTGGGTGCCCCAAACATTCGGCCTTGTGCACACATCTATGCTACGCTTAGAAAATCATTTTAGGGCACCTCTAGTGGTGTAATGATTAGCAAGCTTGTCTTGCTAGAATTATTATGACTGAGTAGTGAGTTCGATCCTCACTGGGTGCCCCATATTTATGGCCTTGTACCACATCTAAGCTACACTTAGAAAATCTGCATTACTATAAAGAACTCCAGGTCAGAGGTAAGACTGGTAGTCATTTGGAGTCAGTTTTCAGACTATTACTAGTGTCACAGTAGAATAGTCAAAGCAGTATGTATAGAGGATCCTTATACGAAGTATGTTATATAAGTAAGAGTGTGTGATAACAATAGCCAGAGAATAATGATGTTATAATAACAGAAATAGTGATAGGTTTGCAGAGTTACATCTATGGGAAAGGGGTTGTAGGATAGATAATAATTCATCACCTACAAGCTGTGTAAATGCTTTTAAACTCGCTCAGGGCTAGAAAGTGAGGATTGGGCAGCTCCAGCCCAGATATTATGCCAATACTCCATTTTTAGTCTGGTCTGACTCTTTTAAAGATTGAGCTAATTACATAGTAGAAGTTTTTAGGCTTGAATCAGATGTATTTTTTTCTCAATTAAAACTCTTATATGGTTTTCATTTCTATGCTGGGTCTACTGAGCAAGTTATTAAAACGTAGTTTGTGTGTTGATATTTGAAACTGTCTTACCTTCCAGTGTTGTTCTCCATTATTCTAACTTCATTCTTAAAAAGAGTTGGAACTAATTTTAATATTGTTTTCATTTAATTGTAGGTATATATTTGATAGATATTTTTACAAAGATTCTGACTTATCTGCATCAATGAAAGTTCCAAAGATCCTCAAGTTCAAGGTGAGACTATTAATATTTTTTTATACATGCTTGATATATATGTCTTTTTTAATCAAATTATTTAAGATAAAGAAATATTATTACAGGGTTCACACCCAACATGGAAAACAATGAACTCAGAATTGCTATAGTCTTGGATATGATAATAAACTACACCTGGTGGCAAGCCCTCTGATTGGGAGATTGGAGGTTTTGAGTGGTGTGGAACCACCTCTTAATTGCTGTTGTTCCACAGCCCACTCTGACCTGGAGTGGTTACACCTGTTAGAGTCCTTGCTATAAGCAAATAGTGACCCTGCCTTAATTAAAAACAAAACCTTAAGTATAAAATACATTTTTATAGTAAAATTACCATCAATACATTTTTATATAAAAAAAATTACCCACAATATCTATTTATAGTAAAATTACCAACATTACATCAATCATCAAGAAAAAACTCTTTTATGTCATTAATCCATATAATATTCGACAATCTCTTAAAGAAATCAAACTTTATTCCAAAGTATAACTTCAAAAAACTACAACATAAAACACATATCACCGCCTTTAGTAATTATCCCTGCACAAACATGTATATGAACAAAAGCTGAGTATCATCCACCATGTGAATGCAGAATAACATGTAGCATATTTTTATTACTTCAAAGTTCACAAGAAAATTAAATATTGGCATTAAATGACCCATGCAAGATTGATATGCCATTAAACAATCAAATCAAAATTATCAAGGGAATTATCAGAGATTAAAAAAAATATCCATTTGTTTTTAAAAGAAAAATCAGAGAATTATCAAGGAATTTGGGCTTAGGGAAATCATGGAATTTTCTGATAAACATTCTTCAAATGACATGATCATTAGATGCTTATTTAGACTGAAAATTGTTTGAATAAAAATGCTAAATATTGTTTACATAGTATATATTACCTGATAATGCTCTAAAACAACTCCATTAAGTAACCATCTACTTTGCCTGGACCAGGGATTGAACTCACAATTACTATGTCGCCAAATTGATTAAACAACAGTTTACTCCACAAGATTGTTGTCTCTTAAGAGCTACAAAGTACAAGAAATTGTGGAGAGCTATGATTGTCAATATCCTGAAGGGACATGGCCTGATAGACTGATAATCTAGAGCAGTGGTTCCCAAACAGTGTGGCAAGCTTCATAGGTGCAGTAGAAGAGGATAGTGGGTGAGGCAGAATGATTGAAAGAAAATCAAAGTTTTAGAAACAGTTTCAAAAAATTCATATGCCAAAAATAAATATGATTTCAAAATTTAAAATATTATTATGGATTACATGCATGAGTGCCAGTATAAATAGTTATAAATAATTATTGACTGATTTTATCATTGTGACATGTTTGCATTATATCAAGTATTAAGAATATAGTAACTAGGCTCTGCAAATTGGAGGAGAGCATTATCAATGATAATGTTCTGACTTCGAATCCGTGTTTATCTCCCTTTAACCCTCTCTCTGTTTTATTTTATTTTTGAATGTACTTTTTATCACATAGAATTTGGTGATGTGTGAGCAAATTTTAATTCCGAAAATGCGGCCCAGAGAAAACAATTTTGGGAACCACTGGTCTATAGAGTTAAAGGAATGTGAGTTCAATCCCTGGGCTGAGCATTATAGATTCAAACTCCATGGAAACAGGGTGAGAAACAATTGAGCATTACTAAAAAAAAAAGAACAGGACAAGATATCCATAGACATGTTCAGTGGAACAGCAACAATCTACACCCATGGGTTCAGTTTGAAGAAGAACAACAGAAGCCCAATGAAGTCTGAAAGGTGCAAGGATTGAAAGATTTTAAATGGTGTATCACTGCCATAACAGACCTGAAGCTGTCCAATCAACTCTTTCTATCCTTGACAGTTAGAACTTCCATATTTCCTATGTTTTTCCATTTTCCATACAAGTGCTTGTCTTTGCATACCACTCAATGAAATTGTCTTTCACCAAAAGCAGAACAAATTTTTACTAGGATCATCTTTCAGTGGCATGATCCCTGAAGCAAATACAGAATTATGACTTTGATCCATCCATTCATTTAGGATTGGAAGAAGTTGACATTTTTATTTAAAAAACTTGAATAAAAATCTCTATTTCTTTCAATCTTCAATGGATAGATTAAAGTCTTAATCTTGTTTGTCCTGGGTATGACAATAAACTATATTTAATCGGGAGGTTTTGAGGAGCATGGAACCACCTTTTAATTGCTGTCGTTCCCGGGTCTACTTGACCGAGTGTGGTAGCACCTGTTAGTGAACCTCCAAACTGCAGTCAAAACATAAAAATATAAAAATAAATTAGAAAAAATTACCAGCAATACATTATTCGAAAAAAACTTACCAGCAATATATTTTTGAAAATAAAAATTATCAAACTTCACAAGAAAATTAAATTTCAGCATTAAATGACCCATAAGGAGTTGATATTCCGTTAAACAAACCAAACCAAACTTAATGTTAAATTTGCTTCAGGGTTCATGCCAGTGAAAGATGATCCTAAGAAAACATAGTAAATATGGAACTTCTATTGGCACAGGACAGACAGCATCTTTTTTAAAAGTATCTGAATGGAAAACTAGTTGAATTATAGCAAATGATCATAGATACAGATCAAAAATAAGATTCTAACGTAAGTACATCAGTGGTACACAGATTTCAGATTAAAACAATGTATATCTTTCTTGGTGTTTACACTTGTCTATATTCTTACATGCATACAATCATACAGATGGCAAATATCACCCTTCTTCTATGTGCCATGTCCTTTCATGACACCAGCAATCATGGCTCTCCACAATTTCCTGTTCTTTGTAACTCTTGATAAATGTTGTCTTTTTGTTATTTCTTTTAAACCTCGTTCCACCATCCATTTACTCAAGCTCACTAGGTAGCTTATACATTGTTTTCTACTATCTCTCTATCCCTCTTGCCTTCAATCTCTCCTATGAGTATCAAATTATCCAAGCCTTCTTTCCTCTTATATGCCCTAGAAGTTTCAACTATCTCTTCCTGATTTTACGGATAAGTGTCTTTTTTGTTTCCATTTTCTCTAAAACTTTGTCATTGCTCACATGTTCTACCCATGGTATTCTCACTATCCTTCTGTAGAACCACATTTCTGTTGCTTCAATTCTCTTCTTCATCTGTAAGCATTCACAGCCATATAAGGGGACTGATATTACATAACAGTTCAGTACTGTATTCTTTGTTTCTAATTAGATGTTTCTCTTTCTTTGTTTAGATTCTGGAAGCTATCTTTCACTATCCCAATGCACCTTCAGATTTCAGTGTCATACTTCCTGTGAAAGCACTTCTCAGATATTTAAGTTGTTATACTTGTTTCATTTTGGTATCACCAATTTGTAATTTCTATGTTGGTCGATTCCTTTTGCTAACAACTATGCATTCCGTATTCTTGTAATTGAGATTTAATCCTTTCTACTCGAAACCTTCTGTAAGAGTTCCTTTTTATGTCTGCTGTCAATGCTGTCATCTGCATATCTTATGTTTTTAAGATTGTGGCTGCCAATAATGAATCCTGGTAGGACTTCTAATTGTCTCAGAATTGCCTCAAGTATAAGTCCAGTGAGAAGATACATCCTTGTTTCACACCCTTGTTTTACTATTTTTTCACATTTACTGAATACATTTTCTATCCATATGCAGGGGGTTTGCTGCTAGTATAGGTTATCGATTATTCTAGTATCCTTCCTAAATATGTCAATGCATTCATTGATGGCTTTTTTGCAATATATTTTTAATTTAAAAAACTTGAACAAAGCTGAAGAAATTAAAATCTGAGAAGAGAAGCATTTAAAGTTGGAAGAGAACATAAAATTAAGTGTCATTTACAGGAATATTGTAGAACTTATCAAGAAAGTAATAAATTTGGTCACATCTTATATTTGGAGGAGAATTGGTAATGATAAGGCTAATATTAGCCGTTTCCTTATAAGGAAACATTTGGCATTGACTGAGGAGCCAGTTCTTGTTTCAGCTGGAGTTAATAAGATCTTTCTCTTAAAACAATTTTTCAGGAAAATAGCTTTTCTAAGTCCAGTAATTCTTATATCTCTTTCTAGTATTGATGGGGGTTTTCTTCCTGACATTTTGTTCAAACTAATTCGGACTATGTCGCCATATTTATCACAACGCTTCGGCCGTTGTACACTCTGGCCTTCTTCACCAGGGTAGCACTGTTCTAGTTCCATGTGCCATGTTTGATGGATGTCAGTTATCAGTTAACTCTTGTTAATTTCCCTCTGAAAGTTCTCCACTGCCTTAACCGGGTATTGAACTCACACTCTTTGGGTCCTGGATCTAACCAACGCCTTTATCCACTGTGCCATGCAGGTTTTGAGCAGAAAGGATTAAACCTCAACGTGTCCTTGAGGTATTCTGGGTATTAATTTCTGGGTATTATAAACCTAATGTCAACAGCAACCATTTTTACCAGTGCTCATATTGCAATTTTTGCTGTTATCATTGCATGTTTTTACCAGAGCTCATATTGCAACTATGTTGTTAGCATATAAATATAGACAGACTCTAATGTGGGATATCTACATTTTTATTATATTTTTATTTTCTTTTTGAGTTATATGTTCTATCTGTTTTAGTTGTTGCTGCTGTTGGTAGTCCACAAGTAATATGGCTTCTGTTATTTGGTACATTTCTTTGTTTGTGCTTCAAAGAAGGATGGTCTTTGCTAAGACCCTAAGGCTTCACTTGGGGGTTTCCTTCCAAACATTTTGTTAGGAAGGAAACCCCCAAGTGAAGCCTTTTTTAAACCATTGATCTTAGAATGCTGCTGTATACAGCTGACAGTTTTGATATTTCTGAATGGGTTTGGTACCATGCATGACATGTATATAAAAGACTTGATCTGATGAGGCAATTTAAGAATATGGCTAGAATTTTTAGGTTAATGTTTTTGTTTGGTAGCAACTTGCGGTGTAGGACAAAACTACCTC